TTGGTTTCGAAGAACATCTTTATTTCTGTCTTCATTTCATTGTTTATCCAGTCAACATTCAAGAGCAAGTTGTTCAGTTTCCATGAAGCTGTGTGGTTCTGGGTTAGTTTTTGAATTCTGAGTTCTAACTTGATTGCACTGTGGTCTGAGACATTTTCTTAATGTGGCCATTTCTCATACGCTTTTGAAAAGTCAAGGACATGACATCTGGCTTCAACCAGTGAAAACATTTCTATTTATTCACATTTGTATTGGTAATGATATGCCCCTGGTATGTTGCTTTCTAGGGATCTAACAATACAGGAGAACAGCTTAGAGAAAACAAAGAATGAGTGGTGTATTAGTTTCCTGTGGCTGTTGTAACAAATTGCCATAAATTGGGTGGCTTAAAACAACAGAAATACATTAACTCACAGTTCTGGAGATCTGGTGTCTCTGAAATCAAGGTGTCGCAAGGTGGCACCCTCTCTGGAGGCTTTAGAAGAGAATTTGTTTTCTGCCTCTTCCAGCTTTTGGTGGCTGCGTTTGTTGGCTTTTGGCTGCATTACTCCAATTTTCACCCCTTTGTGTGTTTCTCCTTTTGTGTGTCTCTTATAAGGACGTTCAGCATTGGCTTTACAGCCCACCTGGAGAATCCAGGAAAATCTCCTCCTCTCAAGATCTTTAATTTATTACATCTGCAAAGATCCTTTTTCTAAATAACGTCGCATTTATAGGTTCCAGAGATTCAGATGTAGACATAGCTTTAGGAAGTCCTGCCATTCAACCCACTACATATGGCTAGTAAATCCCTCAACTGAGTGTTTCTTAGATTTCAGCAAGATACAGATTACTCCTAAAATAAAGACATTTTCATTGAAAACAGAACAAAACACAATTTCTAATAAATTTTTGTGTGTGAAATTTGACAAACTGATTTAAAATTTATATGATAGAGCAGAGTCAACAACAGCCCAGACACTCTTGGAGAATAATGACAAGGTTAAGGGAATCCTGCTCCAAGTCTTAAAAATTTATAGTAATTAAGGCACTAAGACACTGGCTCAGAGATAGACAAATGAACCAGCAGAACACTATAACACAATCAGTAACTCAGCAAGACATCAAAACATGCAGACACTTGATATATGACAGAAGCATTATTGCAAATTAACAGTCATTTGTATGAAAAAATTGGATGTTTACTTAATACCATGAAAAAAACAAATCAGTTTTCATGTCATTCAGGATTTAAATGTGAACAGCAACACTTTAAAATACTCGGAAAATACAAAAGAATATCTGGTGATCTCAGGAATCCAAATATTCATCAATAGGAAAAGAATTGAATAAACAGGCAGATATTCACACAATAAAATAGTTGTGAGCTTTTCCTCTAAGAACTGGAACAAGACAAAGATGCTTATTCTCACCACTCATATTCAACATAGTACTGGAAGTCCTAGCCAGAGCAAGTACGCAAAAGAAAGAAAGAAAGGGCATCCGAATTGGAAAGGAGAAAGTCAACTTGTCCCTGTTTGCAGATCACATGATCTTATATAGAGAAAAACCTAAAGACTCTATGGTAGCGCTGTTGGCAGTTCACCTTCAGCGGTGGGACCTCAGGGACTGCCTCAGTTGCATAGAATTTCCTGGTTCAAGATCACCTTCCTTGCTGGGGTGGCCACATCCAATGACTGATCAGTCCAACTCAGGACAAGTGGGAGTGTTTTGAAGAGCTATTCTAGTTTCATTTTATTGGCTCATGATATTGCAGATGAGGAATTTAGTCAGAGCTTAGCTGGGCAGTTTTGCCCCACATAGTATCAGCTGGGTTTATTCACTCAGCTGCATTCATTCCTTGACCGTGTTGAGCTAGGAAGTTCAATAAGGCTTCATGCGCATGTCTGGCACATCAGCGCTCCTCCAAGTGGCTTCTCTCTTAACTGTACGGTCACTTAGACTTCCTCACAACATTCTGGACTTGGAGTAATCAGATTTCTTACATAATAGCTTGGAGCATTACAAGTGATAAAGGAAGAAGTTACAGATCTCTTACTTATTAGCCTTGGAAGTTACTCAACATAGTATCTGCTATGTTGTATTAGTTAAAATAGTCACAAGGCCCGCCCACATCCACAGTGGGGAGAAATAGACTCCATTTCTTGATAGGGGCATGACAAGTTCACATTGCAAAAAAGCTTGTGGGATGGGAGATATTTTATGGCCACAGTTGGAAACACAATGTGTCACAGCCTTATGTACAGCCAAGCAGGTTGTGCACTGTACATCTGCAGGGGTTATCATTCACTCAGACCTCAAGGCAAACAGCGTCCCCTAGAGTTGTGCAGTACACAACCAGCATAATCAGTCTCCACAGCACTGGACTATCACACACATAATGCTTATCACAAAAAGCAAGTAATAGATGAATATATACAATATTTTACCATTTACATGAAATTTAAAATGTCAAATGAAAGAATATTTTATATTCATACATTAAAATGTAGTAAGCCTAAAAAAATAAGCAAGGAAATGATAAACAAAATTTAGAAAAGGGGAGGAAGATGTGGCCTTTAAGATCAGGAGGAACATAGCAATGTCAGAGGTCTTGGTAATAATTTATTGCTTTAGTTAGGTGGTAAATATATGGGCATTTGTTATCTACCTAACATTCTTTGTTTTTTGTTTTTGTTTTTGAGATGGAGTCTTACTTTGTTGCCCAGGCTAGAGTGCAGTGGTGCAATCTCGGTTCACTGCAACCTCTACCTCCTGGTTTCAAGTGATTCTCCTGCCTCAGCCTCTCAAGTAGCTGGGATTACAGATGCGCGCCACCACATCCAATCAATTTTTGTATTTTTAGTAGAGATGGGGTTTCACCATGATGGCCAGGCTGGTCTTGAACTCCTGACCTCGTGATCTGCCCCCTCGGCCTCCCAACCTAACATTCTTTTGTATGTGCAAAGTAATCCACACTCGATTAAGAATGAAAACAAATAATATAGTAAAGTAGAAAAAGTAAAATAAAGATTAATTCAGGATTGCTGTAGCCTCTGGAATAATAGAAAGAGATGACAAGGGTAATTTATTCAGGGGATCTAGTAGTGTTCAATGATATTTATTAGATCAGCTTGGTGAGTATTTGCTACATTTTTCTTTATATCTTACAAATTGATTCTATATCTTCTTTTGTTTGTGTTAATATCTTATAATAAATGGATTCATTAAAAAATATTCATTTATTGAGCACTTAATATATGCTGGGCACTGTTCCAGGAACTTGGGATACAATGATGAACAAAACTGGCAAAAATCGCTGTCCTCATGTGGTTTCCTTTTTTTTTTTTTTCTTAATGGATACCAGAAAATGGTGAACTAAAGTGGAAGCAGTAATACCAGTCAGCCGTGAGGACAGGCAATAAAGAAGGGCATTGTCTTTAGGGGGTTTGAAAACAATAACATGAATGAAAATTAGTCTGCCTTTTACTATAGCTGTGTGTCAACAATTCTAAACAATAACAGGTGATAAAAATACTCTTCCCCACTGGAGTACAAGTCTCCTTCCATCCTCTCCTTTATAGCAGAAGCACTAAGGGCATACATTATGATTTCTTACATTATAATTCTGTGTAAGTTAACGATCTAACACACCATACATCGTTTCTAAGATATAACATGGATTTAGTCTTTCAGAACAAATTTTTGTGTTGCTGTTTACATGTTTGTGCTAAATCTGGGGGAGAGAAAAAATGGGTGAAGAGTAGAGAAAGAGAAGTGGCAGATACACGCTAGCTGGTCATTGAGGGTACAGAAGGTGACCATCAACTATCAGAAAGTGTAGACCATGGAATCAGCGGTGAATAGAATGGTGCCTTAACAACGACTAGTCCCATCTGGGTATAATTATTTCCATCTGGATGTCCCTCATAGTCCTCAGAGAGTATGCAATAGAAACAAAGTCTAAACATCTCATTCTAGAAAAGCCACAGTTAAGCTTGTAAACAAAAGAAAGAAACATTCAGCTTCTTTTTCCAGGATACAAGGTGATAATGTTGAATTCAATCTAAACCCAGAGTATAAAATAAGAGTTGAAGTGAAGGAGTGCATTGTCATTGTGAGAGAGATCAATTTTAACAGCGGATACAGTCTGAAATGGTTGAGGTTGTCATCATATCATGACTTTGTGACAAAAAAAAAAAAATGAGAGGAAAGAGACCACTGTTTAAGGATCAGTCATTGGATTTACATCATGGTTAAAAAAAAAGACTAACATTTCTGTTTTTAGAATATTTCATTGCGATTGTAACAGCCATGTCGGAAGAGCCTATTTTACTCTTAAGATTCCTAAATTTATGTCCAGCATTTTCAAGAGTCACTCGGAAGATAAGATGACATAAATATTGTAATGTTTGTCACACATTCTCTTTTCAGAGAATCAGGGTGGCATTCTAAAGAGGTAGTTTCTGAGAAAACTGGGCACACACATATGGAACCATTTAAGTCATTTGTTGTGACAGTAATGAGGAATTGAGTAAGCTATATTTCAACAAAGAAAACTTCTCTAGGAGGGAAGTCAAGAACTCTAAAAGACGTTGTGTCAGGATGAAATCCACTCACAGCTCGGTTCTTCACAAAAACCTTAGCTTGATTTTGCAGCAAACTAGCCCATGGATGTAGTGGAATATATTGTGTGAGTCATAGGAAAAGAATCTTTCCCAGATCTATTCAGTCAAAGGCAGAAGAATCTTCTGTAATTTCAAAGCAGCGTTGAGTAAACAATACCTGAAATAGACAGCTATTGTGATCTGCTGCTTTCTCTTCCCTTCTTCTAGAAACAGCTCCGCACATTTTTTTTTTTTTTTTTTTTTTTTTTTTTTGGTTTTTTTTTTTTTTTTTTTTTTTTTTTTTTTTTTGAGACGGAGTTTCGCTCTTGTTACCCAGGCTGGAGTGCAATGGCGCAATCTCGGCTCACCGCAACCTCCGCCTCCTGGGTTCAAGCAATTCTCCTGCCTCAGCCTCCTGAGTAGCTGGGATTACAGGCATGCGCCACCATGTCCAGCTAATTTTTTGTAGTTTTAGTAGAGACGGGGTTTCACCGTGTTGACCAGGATGGTCTCGATCTCTTGACCTCGTGATCCACCCGCCTCGGCCTCCCAAAGTGCTGGGATTACAGGCGTGAGCCACCGCGCCCGGCCCTCCGCACATTTTATATAAACTACCCCTTCTCCCACTCCACCTAAGTGCTCACAATGCGGTAACCAGTCATACCTGTGCCCATGTGACCCACATGACCCCATAGGCTTCATTCTCCTTTCACGTGGAACTTGACAAAATCAACCTCTCTTAGACAGCAAAACTGACTCAACCTGGTCTAAGCCACCATCATATCTCCCTTGAATGATTGTAATAAGTACCTAACCGGTCTCCCTACTTCTACCCTTGCCTCTCTACAGTTCAATCTCAGCACAGAAGCCAGAGGTGAATGCAAGTCGGATAATGTCACTCCTCCATGCAAAACCCTCTAGCCGCTGTCTATCTCATACTCTAAGTCAAAGCCAAAGTCTTTGCTATGACTCACAAAGCTCTAGAGAATCCGCCCCACATTCTCTTACCTCCCGGGCCTCGTGTCTTTGCTCACTCCTCTTTAGCCTTAGACCCGTTGCTTTTCCTCACAGATGCCAAGTACATACCTAGCTCATGTCCTTTGCACTTGCTGTTCTCCCCAACGTCAATCCTTTTCCCTCAGTTATTTGCATGGCTCCCTCCCTCTCTTCTTACAGGTCTTTGTTCAAATGTCATCTTCCTAGTAAGGCCCACCCTGACTACTCAATTTCAATTGCAACTCCCCACCCCAGCACTTCCTATGCCTCCTTTATGCTTCATTTTTTTTTTTCTTTTTGTTGTTGTTTTGGTTTTGAGAGAGGGTCTCACTCTGTCACCCAGGTTGGAGTGCAGTGGCACAATCATGGCTCACTGCAGCCTCGACCTCCTGGGCTCAAGAGATTCTCCCACCTCAGCCTCCCAGCTAGCTGGGACTACAGGCATGAGCCACCACGCCCAGCTAATTGTTGTATTTTTTTGTAGACAGAGGTTTTGGCACGTTGCCTGGGCTGGTCTCAAACTCCTGGGACCAAGTGATCTGCCAGCCTCTGGCTTTCAAAGTGTTGGGATTATAGGCCTGAGCCACCATGCCTGGCCTTATGCTTGGTTTTTATTTTCCATAGCACTTACTACTTTCTAACACCCTGTAAAAGATTTCTCTTTACTTTTGTTTACCGTCTGAATTTCCTCCTCTAGAATATAAACAGAGTTTATTTACTTGCATTTCTTTTCCTACTATTTCCAGCACCTAGAACAGTGTCTGTAATGCTATAGGTGTTCCATGGCTACGTGTTTCATGAATTGAATGAATGAAATTTGGACAGATGAGAGTTAGCAGTTTCTGTCATTGGTGGGCCAATCTTGTGATAAAGCCCCTGACAGAGGGCAATTGACACAAAGAAAGCTTCATTCTCCATGCTAATAGCGGACTAGCCTTTGTCCCTGTCCTCCCAGAAGCCAGCTACACCTCTCTCTTTACAGAGTTTTCTACGAGAGCCATCAAATCCTCCTTTTTCTCTAAGATAGCTCCAGTTGGGCCTCTATCATTTGCAACCACGAGATCTAATACAGGAGTGTTCTTTGCACATATACAGGATAAATTTTCTCTTTTACCAAGGACATGCCTCTCTGAGTGGTCTACATCCTCAGCTCATGCTCTGCTTCATCTTCCATCCTCAGCGCATCCTGGCTTGGCAACAGCAGCCAATTCCACATAAGGCAGCTTCTGTTGAGACATCATTTTCAGTTGTTTGAAATATCTATGTTCATCAGCCTTGTGCAAAGTGGAATACAGCGACAAGGCAGGGTATGCTGCCTCCTGCCTCCTGCTTTCTCCCATCCAGTCCTTCAACAGCCACATCCCAAACACTTGACCTCTAGACACTCATATATTTGCCCATGTTGTCCCACTTCCTCTCTCTACTACAGTTACCACTACATTCTGCTTC